TGTGCCAAACAGTGAAATTAAATAGAAGACCCAAATGTGAGTACTAATTTCTACAGTCATCTGATGCTTAGCAAAGAAACAACAATGAAATACACCATAGGAAATACAGCAACTTCATCAAATAGTGCTTGGAAAACTGTATGTCCACATGCAGAAAAAATGAAGATAAGATCCATATATTATCACCCTATACAAGATACAAGTGGATTAAAAGACTTACATTTGAAGCCTGAAAAAATAAAACTACTAGAAGAAGGCATAGGCAGCACTCTGAACCCAGCTATGAACCAAAACAATGACCAGCATAGCTTCTTAACCCTAAGGGTGCAGTAACAGCACACATACATGTGGTAACAAACAGCTTTCTAATTGGATTTAAGACCTACTCAACAAGAAGGAAAGCATGCCTGTATTGAAGTCATGGATTTTGGAGGAGAACCTATAACCATTACTTTACTAAACTAACATCATCCCTAACGACATTCTAAGTATTTGTCCTTATACCCACAGATAAATGTGGTTCTTACCTCTCATCAAGGAAACTTCTTTTTGCAACAGATGGAGTCCGTTATGGAAAACTGCAATCAAACAAAGAGCAGAGCTGTAGAGAAACTTCTACACCTAAGACTCAGTGATCATTGTGGATTTAGGGGGCAGAAAGATTGTAAAAGCCAGAGGATCAGGGAGTTTTGTGTGAGATTGTGTCTCCTAGAAATGTTAGAAGCTACATCCATATAGTCTCATCAACATGACTGCCTAAACATGAGTTGGACAAGGACAACAAAAGACATGATAAAGTAGAAAGGAAAAAGGTCTCAACTCTACTGGCAACTAAGGAGTGCTGAGAGTAGGAGAAATAGTCTTCCCCAGGGAAGAGCATACCAATTGATTATCAAGTATCAAATGGTCATCCTTGAAAACATACATATAAATAACATTCTAAGACTAATCAGGTTGTATTTATACATTTAGAAATATATATGTCTATAACAATTATGAAAAAAAGAGGCCATGAATTTGAAAGACAGCAAAAAGAAATATTCAGAAAGTTTGGAAGTAGGAGAGGAATGGGGAAAAAGATGTAATTCTAACATCAAAAATAAAAGAAATACTTAAAAAACAGGAAAATATACACGAATAGTTAAGGGAAAGCAATACAATAAAAATTTAGTATCTAAATCCTATACCAATGAACATTAAAAGAAGAGCCAAATCTCCTGGCAAGTTATTATAACCTTCATCCAAGAAAAAAAACTAGTTTGAAGAATGAGAGTTGTTTTCTTGGTTAGTTATTTGAACTCATTTAAAAAATTGGAATTAGATATTAATTTGAATTATTCTTTCTTAAAGTTGTAGAAAGCATAATTTGCTTTTTATGTGCTGGAGGATATTTCTATCTATATTCAATAGTATTTTTCATCATTTAATATTTATGTCTGCCTATATTTTTGAGATCATTAATCTATAAGTTAAGATAAAAACAAAAACACTAAACCCAAGTAGTCATTTGTGTTTAGGAACAAGAGTGGCAAGTTTTGTTTCCCTGCAGTGCAGTGAAACTAAATAATAACAGATAGTAATATTTACCACTCAATATCAACAATATAAATTTCAGCATTAAAGGACAGTTTCCTATCAAGACAATTAGGCTGTATTAAATATTACATTTCCAGGATAGCACTGGGATCTTGCAATGAATTTCCTAGATAAACTGAATGGCTATCAGGAGAAACTATAAAGGTCAGGTGTTTGGGATACAAATTTAAAATTTTAAATTATTATTAAAAAACTTCACACAATGTATTTTGATCATGTCCCAATTTCTTCCAGATCCTTCCCACTTCTCTTCCCAACCAACTTTATAGTTTTCTTTCTCTTTAAAAGGACCGAAACACAAAAGCAAACAAACGAAAAACCCAGAAAACATACTCTCACACACATAACTTCCCCTAAATCAAATTGAAACAAACAAATGAAAACAACCAAAATCTGAAATCAAAATAAACACGCAAATGACCTGTTCAACAAAAGACACTCAAACAAAGCAAAATGAGACAAAAATGCCCTTTAGCTTGTTTTGTGTTGACCAACTAACTACTCTTGGAAGTAAGGAGTAGGTGTTAATATACCAAGTGAGACTCCATTGGAAAAATTTGGGTTTTGTTTTTACCAGTATGTTTCACTTGCAGATAGCTTCTTAGTTAGAGGTGAGAGCCTGAATCCTCTTCCTCCTTAAATATATCTTGAGACGGTATTTTACATATAAATCTGTTTAACCAAAATTTAGGTAATGTCCTCATTATTTATGATAAAAATATATTCTTATGAGTTAGTGGAGTGGTGATGATGGAAGAAATTGTATAATCCACAGAAAAGTGAAACAATTAGCAAACAAATGGGGATTAGAAATTGTCTTTTGTTATTGCACTTGATCTTAGACAAAAGGCCAAGAAATGATTTGTATTTTCTTTTAGACTAACAGAGGGCTTTGGAATGAATCAAAGAACAACATTCTATCTTTGTATTGTGAAAAGATAATGTAACTCAGGTTATACACATAAAGCAGAATAGAATAAATTATTTTCCTACCTTCTAGTATGATGATCCTTACTAAAATGTATCACTTGAGTATATATCACTGTGATACCAATCTCACCTTTCAAAGTTTTATATTTTCCATAGTTGGAATCACTAATGTTTTAGTAAGAGGAAGTTCTTGAAAGATATATTTGATTATCTTGAAAAGGCCAATTAAAATTGTATTCGCATATTTACTTTCCTGCAAACTCAGGAGACTTTATAACCAAAAATGCCAGTTTACAATCTAAGAAGAACACACATAATCAATTATGTTTATTTTGAAACTTAACATACAAAACATTTGCTTGAGATCAGAAGTGCATTTTAAGGATACACAAGCAATGCTTGCAGAATGAAATAAAAAGTTAAGTATATAACAGAAAATAGTCTGGCTAGTTTATGAGATTTGAAAAGGCTTCTTATGACCGAAGGGATATATGTAAAGACTGTAGAGTGTTAATGTCATAGAATAGTATTATTTTGCTACTAGGAATTGCAAATATAAAGCTCCTAATTTAAGTATTCTAAGTGACTTTTACGGCATTCTTTGGACTAAATCATGTGTTTTTGTAATGCCCATCATATACCAGGAGAACATGGTCCACAGAATCAACTAAGCAGGGCACATAGGGGCTCACAAACACTGAAATGGCAATCAGGGAGCCTGAAGCAGCAATTGGGTCTGAGGTAGGTGCTTTGCATAATACATATGGTTCTGTAGCTTTGTCTTTTTGTGGGACTCCTAACAGTGGGAGTGGGGATATCTCTGACTCTTTTACCCGTTCTTGGGATCCTTTTTATCTTACTGGGTTGATGTGAGGGTTTGTGCCAAGTTTTATTGTGGCTTGCTTGTCATGGTATGTTCAGTTGAGATCCATGGGAGACCTGCTCGTTTTTGAAGGGAAGTGTAAGAGGAGTGGCTCTGAGGGAGCGGGCAGATGGGAAGGGGGAGAACTGGGAGGAGGGGAGGAAACTGGAGTAGGGGTGTAATATATGTAATATATGAGAGAATAAATAAAAAATAAAAACTTGCCAGGCAGTGGTGGCGCACGCCTTTAGTCCCAGCATTTGGGAGGCAGAGGCAGGCGGATTTCTGAGTTCAAGGCCAGCCTGGTCTACAGAGTGAGTTCCAGGACAGCCAGGGCTACACAGAGAAACCCTGCCTCGAAAAACCAATAAAATGAAATGAAATGAAATGAAATGAAATGAAATGAAATACCTCACAGACATACACACGTATAAGTAAAACATAAAATAAAATAAAATAAAACTTGTTTAAAAAGCATATACTTTGATGTATCATCAATCCATCCAATTTCTCTCCCTCCCTCTCTCTCTCTCTCTCTCTCTCTCTCTCTCTCTCTCTCTCTCTCTCTTTCATTTGTCAATCAAGTATCTCTCATCTGCTTGTGGTAAGAGCATAACATATCTGTCCTATTCAAAAATAAAGGCACAGTGATAATGGAAGGCATTATTTTGTATAGTAAATCTCTAGGACCTATTCATCATGTATACCTGAACTTTGTATTTGAAGATGATGGCACAGATACCTAGCAAATTAAGAATGTAGATTCTGGCAACAGAATACTTGGAGTTCAATCTTGCTTCTGAAACTTGCTGGCAAAATGAGGATGGTAATGGTACATACTCTGCAGGGCGTTTGTACTTATGAATTGACACAGCTAAAATATTTAAAACATTTAAAAAGCTTTTAAAATTAAAATTATATATACATATATAATTAAATGTTATATTCTTCCATGTAGAGATGTAATTTGTAACCTCAGGGAATTAATAATTCTATACAGAACACTTCCCTTTAGGAGAAAATACTAATACACATGGAGAAACTGGAAAAAGTAGTAAGAAGTTGTATGGCATAGGCTATAAAGACATAGTTCAAGGAAGAACAATACATTCATTGTGAGTTTGTAGATGACTGAAGTTTTGTGGCATATCTATATGGTACATGTGGGTACATATGTGAGTGGAACTGCAAATACAAACAAAAGCTTGGATGTAGAAATAAATGAGCAACATCATTATATGCACTAGAATTTAGCTGTGGCAATGTTTTGTTTGAATTCTTTCAAAATTAAAAGTGAATACAATTAATATGAATTAGTATATTTAACAACTCCCCTATAAATACTCTAACATGGCATCTTACTATATATTATTAGGATACATTTTTAGCATATCTAACCACATTTGAATCTTGCAACTGTCCATAAGAAAGCAAAACAAGTATCATTCTCAACTTACAGCTGAGAAAGTTAAGGTTTTAGGCTTAAGAGATTCGCTCAAAGGTACATTAACTTTGCTCAAAGTTAAAAGAGAGCAGATTAGCAGGCAGGCATCTTGGTTTCCAGACTCATGCACTTCTACCACAAAGCAGAAATGTAGAAAATGAGACCTGATGATTTATGACATATATGTTTAATATTTGTCTCAAGCAAGAGGAAACAAGAGTAATATAGGCACTGCCAATTTTCAGACATGTTCAACAGAAACCAACGAGTTCCAGTTAGTTTTGATCCTCAGTGTCCTCTCTTCATTATGCTTTAAACAAAATTTTCCAAGGGGTGCAGCAGAAGTGACATAGAAAATGTTTACACGTGGTAGATGCCGACAGAACTCCATTCATGGTTTGCCTTTTTTCCATCTCTATGATCATTTATTTCTTCTGAGTTAATGTGACTTTTGAAACTTAGAGTCAGGAACAAAGTGACCTTCAGCAAAACTTTGCCAACTAATATCATATTTTAGTCACAACCAAGCTGTTTCCAATGGTTTGTTTTAAGAACAAAGCTTCTGCTATAATATAAAAATCACTGTAAACAAATATTACTTTCAACATGCTAATAAAAAACAAAAAGTATAAAACAACACTAAATCTCATAACTAACTATAAATGCATATCATAGAACAAGATAGATTACATATATTTATATACATATACACAAATGCATATAGTTATTAAAGAATTAATGACATGGATATTCAAATTTTCTTCTGGTATGTGACATAGTAAATTTTGATTCCAACAAAACTCATGTAGAAAAGTAGACCTATTTCCTTTACTTCTGATGAATTTTGACTGCTTCTGCTCATATATGGGAATGTCAGTTGCCTTACTTATTAAGGAAGGATTATATGTTGAATTGAGATTGAACCGCAGTGACCAAGAAGAACACCATTCTTTTTTGGAGAGGGGTTGAGTCAAGGGCAGAAAAGAATTAGAGACAAACTGGCCTTTGATCAGATTTATCTTCCTTATTTTCCAGACTGTAAATTTCATGCAGCCTGTGGAGCTATTTGGCTGAATATTGGTCTGTTCTAGCACTTGAACATTCTCTTCTGGAGCTAGTCAGTACTACAAAGGAAACGGCTGACCGTACATTTCTGTAGGTCCTAGGTCATCTCCAGGTCTCATCTGATGGCATGCATGCAAAGGAATATGTTAGAGTGACTGATGACTATTTGCTAATTTTAAAGCTATATTTAAAAGCTGGAATCCAAAGTCTAGTACATAGCTTTTGTAACCCTTTTTATATTTTTGGTTTCATACTCAGTTTTGTAGTTCATAACAGCAAACATTCTCCACCATTCTGGTGAGTCGTCAAAAAAATCTGTGGGTTAGTTCACAGTTATAAACTGAATTTTGAACACTTAAAATATCAAATAGTAGTATTTATAAATGAGATAGATATAATTATTTGTAAACTATTAATGGGAGACTTTTTTAAAACTGTGATTTAGAAAAATACTTGTTAGGGAATTTCTTTTCCATTGTTCTGCACTGGAGATGGGTTTGAATTATTCTTTACATATTTCTTCTCCTTTTTCTGGCAAGGAAGCTTTCTTCTTGGGTATGTAAGTCATACTGGACAAAGAATGCTTTCTAAATGTAGACAGCCTTCTCCTAAAGTTTCCACCTGAAAAGAAATATAGCAGAGGATCAAAGCAACAATTTGATGCAGCTAGAGATAAAGTTATGACCACTGACTTCTGCATCCTAAGGACAGAATCACAAGGTTTAGATTCACTGTGTAAAAAATGAAGGTGGATAGTTCGTTGAATATGATATGGCATGAAGCTGACTAAAAAGGCAGCTGTCACAACTATGATCATTCCTATAGCCTTCCTACGACTTGGCAGGTTTTTCTTCATTGTATTTTTTAGTAAGGTCAGAATGATCATTGTGTAACAGACAATTATGGTGACGAAAGGGATGATGAAACCAAAGAATAATGACACATAATGCAAGATCAAAACGTATTTTTTAGCTTGATTGTCCTGTGGAGGCTCAAAGCATTTAGTATTGTTTTTCTCATCTCGGTAAGATTTGTACATTAAAAATGGAGAACTTGTTAAAATCACAAAAATCCAAATTCCAATACACACGAACCTGGCTTTTTTCTGTGTAACCAAATTAATGTTTTGGACTGGAAAGACAATTGCAACACACCGGAAAAAGCTCATAGCTGTCATAAAGAAGATGCTACAATAGAGGTTAACATACAAGGCATAGGTGGAGAGGCGGCACAAAAAGTCGCCAAAGAGCCATTTGCCTTTGTGAACATAGTAGACCACACGGAGAGGCAATGTACATACACAGAGTAGATCTGCTATGGCTAGATTAATCATATATACTTGGAAGGCTGATTTCTCATGGTATGTTTTTATGAGGACATAGAGCACAAAGCTATTGCCAAAGAAACCCACAACAGAGATCATAGAATACATAGTCGAGTACACTTGATTTCGGAATTCATCAATTGTGTCATGACATGTATTATTACTGTCAGATGCCGTCAGATTTTCAGCTCCATCCATATTCTCCAGGAATGTCGGCTTGGTGCCTACAACATATGAAAAAGATCTTGTTAATTAAACTAGATTTTTATAGTGCATGTCAATGTTTTATTTCATAGTGTCACTATAATTTTCTGTGCAACTAAAAATTAATAGATTTTTATTATTCTTTGAAATTTTCATACTTATATACAATGTGTTTTGATCATGTCCAGCATCCACATTGCCCTCCAAGCCCCTCCCAGCATAGCTTCCTCCCAACTTTATGCCCCCCTTCTCCATTTAAGAAATAATCCACTGAGTCCAATTAGTGCTGCACGTATGCAATCTACCACAGCTGGAAGCAATTGTTGTCCGGTTATGAGGAGAGAGACAGTTGAACTTTGCCCCCAGGAGGAAGGTTTGGGTCCTTCAGACATGCAAAAAAATGTTTTCTACCCCTTTGTTATCTATGTTCACCTGGTAGACGTCTTGTTAACCCCCAAGCCTAGATAAAATATTCCCCTCATATTGTAGATTGGACTGCTCCAAAATTTTACTTCAGATGAATTTATGATTTTTCACTTACAAAACAACTTTAAATATATCAGTTTTGCATATATGACTGTGTATGTATCTATTATCATCTTCTCCATGTTCATCATCAGCATCTAATTATCAACGTATTGCTTATAAGAGCTTTAAGTTCAGTTAGAGACTAAAATCTGCACAAAATACTTGCTTTCCCCTAAAAGAGAACTTCTAGGTAACATCTGCTGAATGGAGGTCATACCTAGGAAAATGATCTAATTTATGTTGGTGAAACTCACTCCTGTGGGAGAGGTTCTTAATCTGAAATTAAGCTCTATTAGATCCATAGAACACCACAGCAGGAGAAACCTAGTGGCCACATAGTTATAATAATGATGAGAGAAAAAGTTCCAAAGAGGTCAAATTTACAGTTTAATAATATGTACCATAATTTAAGGCTCTGAGGGAAGATGTGGTACAGTTAGTTGAAATATACTTGTTGGGTGAGGAAATTGCTGGCTGTTCCTTCCTGTTCTTTTCTCAAATTTGTACTCACAGCTTTGAGTTTAGGAATATACAGTTAGTTCTTTCATAGCAAAAGATTGTTACTTGGTCTGTCCAAGTTCTTCTTGGCAGTTAATAACCTCTGATTAGAAACAGCCAGGGATAAGATAGCATAAATAAGAATTATTTCTACAGTGCTCTTCAGCTCCATTTAGTTACTTATTAAAGTGGAAGCAATCCAATACTGAGTCTTGTAGAGATTTGTTGACTTTTATATGGCTCTTGATTTCTGATAAACAAGGTGTGTGGAAAAATGACAGCATATTAAAGAGCTACCAGTGTGAAATAGGATGAATCTTGTCCACATAGTGGGTATATGGAGATAGACAGCTCTGGTAGTTGTTGCAGGTGGGATAGAATGTACCAGGTTTCTAACCAAGAACACATTCATCCACTCAACATGATGCTTCTTCCATCATCTTGCCTTTCTACCTATTTATATTTTTCTAGCATTTAAAATTCCATTTCTCCCAACTTTTATATAAGATTTAAAAAATGATGAGGGGTAATTCTAAAGCTATAGAGAAAACCCAGCCCACCATTCCTGATATCTGCATTAGTTTTCAATTTGTGTGCTGGGTTTCTTTTTCTTTTGGTTCTCTGAATTCAGGTAAAGGAAGGGAAACGTTCCCAAATTAATCTACTCTTTTTGTTAATATTGTTTTAGGTATTTTCTTCAAACTGGGCCGTTTTATGTTATGAGGCACTAGATGGTGCTATTGAGATTTTTGGTATAGCTCTCCCCTTTTTAGTTTTACTCACAATATTTGAGAAATAAATGTAGCATGTTTTAAATCTGTCTCTATAATATTATATACAACATGATCTTATGTGGTCACCATGAAATGATTACTAATTACGTCATAAAATGATTTGATATAGACATACACTGTGGAATGTCTGACACTATAAAGCTAGTTAGCAGCTCCATATCAAACTCATCTTGGAGGTACTTTTCTGCAATCTCAGCCCTTGAAAAGCCAAAGCAGGAAACTGGTGAATTTGAGATCAGCCTAGGCTATACAGGGAGACCTTGGCTCAAAAACAATACATAGACAAGATCAAAACCACATCCATCATCTCATATTCTTCCTATTTTATTGTTCAGATTAAATCACACCTTTTTGACCATGCCTTCTCTTATTCTACATTCAAATAAATTTCTATCCTTGTAGAACTCCTAGAGAGTTTTCAATCTGTCTTGCACATACGTGATGTGTTATCTTTCCTTCCAGACTCTCTGGTTGATAACCATTTACAGCACCTTGCACAGGAACAGAACTCATCTTCTTTGCCCATAAATTCTCGGTGTTAATTGGAGTGATAGAAACCATTTATCATTTGAATGTATAATTATCCATTTAAAACCACTTACAGTGACCGTCTTATTGCACTATAACTCAAAGTCTTTTCAACCTCGGAGACTAAAGATGTTGACGTAGACAAAATTGCTTCATAAAGTAGTAAGGTACTAAATTATACAGCTTAATTGTAAGGGTTAAAATACTCGTGCCATTTATACACAGATTATTTGTCTGTCTATTACATGTTACAAATAAGTTTGAAATTCTCAGCTCCTTGAACAAAAGATACCAAATAGAGCTGATAAATAACAAAGTACATAAAGAAGAGAAAGCCATCTATTTCCATTAATTAGCAGAACTCTTTGAAACAGAATAAACATTCTTATAAAATGCAGTATTTAGATTTAAATATTTACACACAAATTAAACCAATTATTTATATTAAGGCATAAAAAGAAGATTGTAAATTTTTTAAACAAGGACTAGATTTTAAAGGGGTAGAGATCATTTAATGTAAAGTAGCCATTTGACATATAATGATATAAAGTGTCTAAGCAGCATTTAATTAGATTTTGCATAATTTACTATGATTTTTCGTAATGATGTGACTCCTAGGGGATGGATACAGAGAGTTAACTCCTTTGGAAGCCTATGATTTCTTAACAACCCAGTCCTGCCTTCAAAGAGCTCACAGTTGGAAAAGGAAGTGGGAGCTGAGGAGTAATAACTCAAATATTTGAGGAGGTTGTGATAAGTCTAGTAAAAGCCACCTTAGCACAAAGTAAACAAATCACGAATTGATTAATGAGAGGAAGCAGTAAACACAAATGGTGTCGACTTTATTTCAGTACAAATGATGAGGAATGTTACCTCATTAAGAAAATTGCAAATTAAACAAACTGGGTTTTGAAATGGGAGTCATACCTCTTTCTGGCACCACAGCACCCTTCACAAACTTTCCTTCTTACTGTGGCCACTGTTCTTACGTTGTAGTGTCAGAGTACACTCAAGCTGAAATCATAAGATTAAAAAAAAGGAGTTAGTGACCCTCAGAAGCAATCTGGAAGGGTCATGGGAATTTAGTAGCCTTAAATACAGATCCAGAGTGTGATGGAACATCAAAGCTATACTGACAGATTTAGGGCTGGCCATTGGCTTCCATGGCTCCTTGTTTTCCCTTTATTCTTTTTTACATTCCCAAGGGGAGGGAGACTTGGAATACAGACCATGAGTGGTCGCAGATGTTTGCTGATATATGTATTCAGCTTTTACACCTAAAGATAAGCATAACATAAAATGTTTCTTTATATGAAATCGTATTTTCTCTCACAAAGATTTAACTATAAAGTTCAAAGAGGGTATGATTTGGAAATTCTCATCCAAGGACTTAGTTTGCTAGGAATAGGTGTTAGAATATTAAACAAACTTTTCTGAAATGGCTTAGGGCACAGTGTTCTTTGAAAGAAGAATGACTTAACAGAACTTCAACTAGATCCCCAGACTCATAAATAGTACTTGCTGGTTTTGGTCACTAGTTTCACATATATACTTCTGGAGAGCAATAGTTTTAGAATCTTGGATACTTAAACTTTAAGTGGTATATATCCTTTCAACAAAATTGCTGTTGAGACTCAAACAGATAAAACAAATATGTCAGAAATGAATAAAGAAAGGCTTTCCCAAGGCAGTAGCAACCTGACACCTCTCAATTTTTGTTGTGTTATGGTGACCCTCATTCTTGTCTGCCAGCAAGATTCCCCAGAGGCTGGCCACTTTTTCTTTATGTGTGGTCCCAGAGCTAATAAAATAAACACCTTTCTCCAGTTTATTTTTATAAAGTAGAAGCAGGCTGGAACTTTCCAAAGGAAGTCTACTAACAAAAAAGGGGGAAATCAAAAAAGAAAATAAAGGAAATTCTAAGATATAAAATGTGTCTACTCCATAACTTAGATAATCATTTTTCAGAGCATCTTCTGGTTCTTCTCTCTCTTCCATTGTCTTCCTTTCTCCAGGTAAGTAGTGGATCCTTGGACTATGCTATATTCTGTGTCAAGTGTTGATTGCTGGTAGAGAATTACTCAGAGTTGGCTCTTAAATTTTGTTATTCAAGAAGTAACAATTTTCTTATTTGTTTTTCCCATCTCTTAACACACTGATGAAGATATACTAAATGAATATTAAATGTATAAGCTATTTCTGATCATAAAATTAAATTTTACTTGTCTAATCTAGAAAGAAAATTAACTTCAACCCTGCCATAGATTTTTGTTTAAACAACACTGGCATTTCTCCCTAGACTACTGCAAGAAAGAAAGCTTACGAATTTCTAAAATATGAGAACTGTGATCTTACAAATTTAGCATGCTAAATTTGTAAGCATGTTCATTTTCATGGTGGTTGTACAATTATAATCTAGCCTAACATGCACAAGCAAGTAAGTGTCACGTTATCTGGGAAATAGTGTAGTTTCTTATTCTTCTTCAAGTTAGCAATTGTAAGGCAACCTCAGTTCCTTTTGAATTCTTTGTTTACTTATAGCAGGTGTTTGGTGCTCTGTGATCCCATATCTTGACCCTCTTTCTCTTTCCGTTTACTTGCAGACTCTTGTTTCTGAAATCAGGCTTTGGCCAGTATTAGATATTGTCATTTTTAACTGTGTGCAGGAAAGGTGATGAAGTAAAGGCATAATTATGTGATTTTATGTGTATGTATGTGTACTAGCTACTGAATTCAGGCTCTTACCAATGAGAGCAATCAATCAGCGTCCTTCCTCTCTCTCTCTCTCTCTCTCTCTCTCTCTCTCTCTCTCTCTCTCTC